ACATCCGCAAAAAAATCGGTAATGACATTTTGACGGGTACATCTACGTCAGATCAGATTTTGGTTCCAATGTATCCAATTACAGCGATGTAAGCAAATAAAGTTCGGAAAAGAAACTATTTTTGGATCATCTGCGACAAAATACAAGTTACCTCACTCAGCAGCAGTCTTCAAAACAATCCGCAGTTTTCTTAGTAATTGATGTGATGGGCAAAAAATAAAGAGGCACCAACAGTGTCGTCAAGTAGATTTGACTGACTCCGGTTGCTGGAAGAGAAGACTTCTCATAGGACACAGACAGGACAACCTCTTCTGATCACTCGCAAAATCACAAAACATTCAATCCAAAGTATTCGATATTTAATCGTCAAAACTTTTTTTGTAATCTTCAGTACTATTCACCGATTATTTATAAAACTTGCTCAGTTTTTGCGAACAACCGTCGGGCTAAATTGGCAACCCGAGCAGTTAGTTTTACTTTAAGTCGGATATTATAATATTATAAAAAAATATTAAATATGAAATATATAATAAATTATAAATATGAAGTATAAAATGTGAAATTTTTTATAACTACAACGTTAATGAGGATGTCAATTTTTTGTTTTTTGAGTTCTAAGGTTAAGGTTGCTTTCATTTTATGATAAACTTCGAAGTTTTGAACAATGATTTTTTTGTTACAATCTAGAGGAAAAATGTTTGCCTGTGTTTATAATTAAGTTATAACACGATTTCTGATTAGTGCTTGAACATGTTTGGGGAGAGCAATAACGAATAAACCTAATTCAGTCATCTTTTAGCCTCATTGATTTTTCCTTCTATCAAAAAAGACCCAGACAAGTTTAAAGGACTGACAGAACATTTACGGCTGACTCGTGCTGATACAATAAGTCTAAAAACATTTCACCGCCATCAGATTCAAAGTATTTTTCTGGTGTTTACCTTGCTGTGAAACAGTCAGTAGGAAGATAGGATAAATTTGAAAGGATAAATTTGAAAATGTTTGTGTTGTTTTGGGATGAACGGACGCGAACCTAGTGAAAAATAGAAAAGCATTTGCTCACTAGCTTTAAACCAGGGTTCGCAAAACTTGCTGGAATTAAAACACACATACTTTTACAAACATTTTTAGGAGACAATTGTTTTTTTTTCGCACGCTCATTTTCTTTGCATTTTTAACATCCCGTTATTTATTAAATTTTCATACACTACCACGCCACTCTCAGCTATTTTTTAACAGACAAGAATTCTAAAGAAACTGATTGCTGAAGTTTGCAAATTTTTCACTAAAATGAACGGAGGACGAGCTGAAGGCGTTGAAAGTTAAAATCTGATGAAATCCAAGGCGGCATATTTTGTAACACTGGGCGTTTAAATTGACGTTTGGTTAGCGACTACCAGAACCAATAAAGTTCTTTTTTTCTGACCCGAAATACTTTATATCTAATTTAAATTTCTGGTGAGAAATCCTTTATGAAATGGTTAAATAAAGCATGGATTTTCTTAAAATTTTTTCTTTTTCTCATCTAATTTCTGATCAAAAATTAGCTAAATCGAGGATGTTTCTAGCTAGAAAACGTCTCCTGGTGGGGCTCGAGCACCCGACCATCAATTAATAAGGCGGTTGAGCTAACCAGTAGTTATATCGCTACCTTGATAACGATAAATAGTTTTAGCAATCTTATACAAAGTAATATTTGTTACAACAAGAGTTAATTTGTATTGTTTTGCTACTGATATATTGTGTATACTAGAAGCATCTTTATCTCGTTGCGGTTGAGCTGTGAATTGATTTCTGTTTTTTTTCCAGAAATTATTTATTTCTAATTTAGAAAAGAAACTCTAGAAAAGAAACATTATTTTTGCATAGAAAATACGAGAAAACTTGGCTAGATAATCTATTAAAAGTTATATCTAGAAAAACAGCCTCCGTTGGGTACGGGTAATTATATGAATCCCGCTGATACAAATGCATAAACTTAGCTCTTGTCTTTTCAGGTTTCCTTGAAGTTGTTTGCCGTTTAAACGAATTCGGTCAAAAATCGTCGAATTACACAGTTGAGCAGGTTTTCTACGTTTAGTGGCAAATTGCGTAATTTGAACAAAAACGGCGGAATCAAGAAAATTTTGCATATCCTAGTACAAAATAGCCAAATCAAAACTGCACAAAGCTTTGATACTTGGTGGAACTAGTTTCAACTGCTAAAATTTGTTTTTTGTAACTCCATGGGTAAAAAACATTTTGTGTAGACTCAGTTTTTTTATTGGATTCCTGAAAAAATCCTCAAATAAGTGACAGCTATTTTTAGCAGCAATCAGACATGGGGTATTAATATTTTTGCTTGGCTTCAAAACCAATCTCGACGTTGTGAAGACCAAAGTTTTGGTCAACACTAGCAAGGTAAAAGCATGAGTTAGGTAAAAACTAGCAAGGTAAAAACTTTGACCACGAATAAATGAAACACTGTCAGAAATGTGCAATATTAGTCAAACAAAAGTATAGTAACAAAAGTATCTGCTGGATGTGCAAGAAATACAGAAAGTTCCGAGCACAATTGCTTGTGCCAAAAAAATTAAGATAAAAAACGGTACATGACCTTCTTTATGTTCGTTTTTTTCAAAGTTTCATTGTTCTGTTTTTTCGGCGCGAGCTGGCGCCAAGAGAATGAGAAATTTTTTCTAAAAACTTAATAAAAACAATTAACTCTTATAAATAGGGAAAAACAGTTGATTAGTCCACATTCAATTGGCTTAAACGCCAAAATGTACAGCCTGATTTATCTCGGAAAATCAAAATGTGGATCTCATCACGACTGAGAGAAACAAATTCTTGAGCTCAGAATACAATTTAAAGCTCAGTTACAGTCACCGCCTTCGATTTACTAAGATTTGTAGCTCAAGATGCTTTCAAAGGCTTTAAAAAATGAACTCTTAGCAGTATGTTTTTTAGCGTTTCATCAAATACGAAAACGCACAAAAAACGTAACGTTACTACTGAATCCTTTTTTTTTGCGTTTTCAGCATCTTGTTTTCAAAATCAATGAACATAAGCAGTTTCTTTAAAGAACCACCAATCAATTAGTAATAAAATTCGTCCAGTGGAAAAGAGGTGATAAAAATCAATTTCGTAGATTCATCCAAAAAAACACACTTTCATCCACTTTCAATAGCTGAAAAACTGCCGGCTTGATCTTTTTTAACAGCTTACGGTGCAAAATATGTCCCAAACAAACTCATTTCTACCATCAACATATTACTTGCTATACGTTGGGATAACTATAGTTTTATTGTTGCAGTTGTCAGTATCGGAATTGCTACGTAAGTTGAAACCAAAAAACCCTATCATTAACTAAGTTCCGAATCTGCAAACGTTTTCATTTCATGCTTGGCTCCAACTTTTTAACTCTCTAGTCTATGTCTGTTTAAACACCAAAATTTCCAACCAATTTTTTCAGAATTTGTAAATAATTAACTTATTCATGACTGATCTAATCAAACTCTCGTGCTTAAATTAAAAAGCTGAGCGCATTTAAAGTCACCGCGTTCGGTTTTTAATAACAGTTGTTTGCGATTTTTTTAAAAAAAAAACGAGGAAATTAAACCTCTTTTTGACTTTCTTGACAATTCGAATTCATCAAGACAAATTTGCGTTTTCTTTATTTTGTTTTCATAAGTAATGTATATAAGCTTTGGAATAAGTATAAACTGTTTTACCACGATTTTTTTATAGCACCACTATATGGAAATATTTTGGGAAAAACTGCATTTTTTCCAAAAAAATAGTCCTCATTTCGAAAATGTTTGCTGAAGACTCGACTTTCATAACGAGAGGAAAGTCGACAAAGCTGTTCAGAAAACCGGGCTTCGTCAAAAAATTATAGCGCACGCCACTAATCAGCAAGAGTCATGGCAAAGATAGGACGTAAAATGCAGCAATTGGAGGGCAAATGTAGCAAGCAAAGGTAAAGCGTGCAGCAATCGGAGATTTTGATTCCAGAAACTTTTTTGTCACCTTGGATGGTAAACTTCGGCATTGTTTGTAGAGGTTATTGCGCTGATTTGTCATTGAATCGCCACTGTCGCAAGTCTAAGATTTCCCCCTGATGACGTTCCGGGTCATAGAGACAATCATTTAAGCTGGTACCCAAAAATTATCATTCTTACCAATTTGCCCATGCCTATATTTCCGGGTTGGTCTAAATTATAAAGCTGCTCTATGCAGGTTTTATATAAGCTTGATTCACACCGTACAAATTAATTTTGATTTGACAACTTTATACGGCTTTTTAGGTGAAACCTGGATGTAACTTAAACTTTATACAGAAGATTAACCTTTTTTTAACAGTTATTAGACTTATTTTCGAAAAAGTATGTTTTTTATTGTTCTGATAATTTGATAATTTGATGTTTTTCTTGCAGTTGAAGTTTATGCTAAACCCATAATACTATATTCGTATCATTACTCGAATTTGAGCGCTGATTACCAACCCAGTAAATTAGTTCAGTAGGTACTTTTCTTGTATCTTTTTTTAGATATAATATATACGTGCAGGTCTGAATGCATGTTTTTCTTCTCTTATGTATTCATGTGTATTGGCGCAGAAGGAACTCTTGTGAAAAGAAGACCTCTTGGAAAAAAGGCTATTAGAAGTGGCGCCCTTTCCACTTGCCAACAGTGTCGCATTGGCAAGCGTCCATCTGCTGACTGCTTTTGAATTACATAGTTCATTAAAAAAATACCAAAGCCTATCTCAATCAGAGCGGAGATTCTGTTCCTTTTGAAATGTCATTGGTCGTTTGTTTTCTGTCGCATTTAGCCCAATTACTACAGCGTTGGCCCATATTGAGTAAACGGCGAAAACTGACTCCATCTACTAATAGGCAGAGAGCTGCAATTTTACTACACCTGAAAAAGTATTTATATTTACACGCTCATATAATTTTGAACTTGCAAACAAACCGGCTACTTTATGATACCAATATATTATAACAATGGTCTAATAAAACAATAAACAGGAATTTTTTGCTCCAATAAAATGCTTTTTTAAGTAAGAGATTTTTATCAACCGATTAAGAAACTATTCCACATCTAAGGGGTTCTATTTTTTTTGGGTAGGGCTCAAATAATAATAAAAACAGGCGGACTGATTTGATGATATCTTATGTTTGAGACGTGTTTGCCGCAAAAGAAAAACAAAATTAATCAGGTGGAAAAGAGGCGATAAAAAGAAGTTTTCAAGTTCAAGTCAAAAACCACTCTTATGTGATTCGATTCAATTTCAACAACTGGAAAATTGCCAGCTTGGTTTTTTAAACAACTATTCAGTTCAGCTTGAGTTACACATTATGGCCCAAACAAAATTACTTTTACTATCAAGTTATTACTCGCTGTACATTGGAACAACTATAATTTTACTGTTGCAGTTCTCAGTATCGGAATCGCTACGTAAGTTGAAACAAAAAACTCTATAAATGAATGTTTTTCAGATTCTCACAATCTGAATCGTTGGCTCTTCATACAATCAGATTCTCTTCATACAATCGTTGGCTCCTATTTTTCCAAACTGCGTTGAGGTGGTCAAAACAGGTGTCGGTTGTATGGGTCAACCGTTATTCGACTTTTTCAGTCGAACGATGTCCGCTGTCGACTTTGTCATCCATTGTCACACTTTTTTCGACCTCGGATCGTTTTTAGTCAAGGTTGATTGAACCTGGTTGACTTTTGGCTACTCTGTTTCAAAGAATGAGCAGTTTATTGTGAGTTTAATTCAAGAAACTGCTCTAGAAACGGGAGAAAGCTCAAATGCCGACCCATATGCCGATTCAGGTGACCCAAAAAACTTAAATGTGTTTGATTATGTCCGATGTATGTATGTATGTATGTATGTATGTATGTATGTATGTATGTAAGCATATAGATATGTATGTATGTATATATGTTTGCAGGTATGTATGTATGTATGTATGTATGTATGTATGTATGTATGTATGTATATATGTATGTATGTATGTATGTATGTATGTATGTATGTATGTATGTATGTATGTATGTATGAATGTATGTATGTATGTATGTATGTATGTTTGTATGTACGTATGTATGTATGTATAATTGTATGTATGCATGTTTGTGTGTATATATGTTACTCCCCTGATGACTAATGAGCAACTTTCATGATTTCAAAATCACAAATGCGCAAAACCATTTTAACTTTTTTCCACGAAATTTGATTTTTTGAATTATTTTCAGATCATCTTTTTGAAGCAATGAAAATTTTAATTTATAATTTTTTCTTCAGTCATTTTTTGATTGAACTGTAGTTTAATTAATTTTTGATTTCAGCATTAGAAAAGTCCTGAATTTTTCAACTTTTTGATCCATTCTTCTCGATGGAGTTGTCAAAGTTTTGGTTGTTTCAAACTTTTGTCGCTCTTTTTTTCCAATATGGTCAGAACACCTTTGTTTTTCAGTATGTTTATTACCATTTCAAGGTAAAAGAAAAACCAATTAAGTCAATAAAACTGGCTTTTCAAGCAATTCAATTGTGAAGGATCGCAGTTTTTGATATATAAGAAAAATTGAAGATTTTTTTCTTCTGAATGGTTTCATTTTGCACAATTTTTTTTTCTGAAATCAAATTATTTTGTTTTGAATCAAAATAAGTCTCCGCTAATAGTTAGTAGTTTCCGTTAGTGGAATTTTCAAATGTATAATAGCATAATCACTAATAGCATTAAAAAAATTGTTTCTTGAACACGCTTCTCAATTTTTATATCGAATTTTTAAAAGTTGGAAAAAACTTTTGGTTTGATGGACATCATCATTGGACCTATATCCGTTTTTTATCCAAAGTATATACATTAGAAACAACTCTTTCACATTTATATTTTCAATTAATCTTAGCCCCAACAATTAGAAAAAAATAGTCGTTCACTAACACTCACAAAAGATGAGAAAAAATTAGTAGTTCACTAACGCTCACAACAATCAATTAGTTTTTTAGCTGAGTCAATATGGTGCAACTTATTTAGCAAAACTTGGGCCAAAATACAATCATTTTTTTCTTGTTTAACCTAACAATAGTTACGACTGAACTACCGGATCAAATGCGGATGAAAAATTTATTAAGAGAGCCCAACAAAGTTTGAAAAGAAATTTTTAAAATTTCGATGGTTTATATGAACCATTTATTATCATTTAAAAAGGAGATTTTTTAATTTGTAAAAATGACATTTTTTTGCTATTAAACAAAAATACATTTCTCTATAAAAACATTAGAAGATTACACCCTTCGTAAAATTTGCCGCAATGCATAAGAGGCTGACTTCGTTATAATTGGGTCAGTTATTGATCCGGTAGTTCTGGCACTATTTTTGTTTGGGTAAAAAACCAAAAATGATCTGTTTTGGCCTAAATTTTGGTTCCAAATTTCGGCAAAATTTTCCATTGTTTTAATAGTGTACCTCAATCTACAAAAAAGGATCAACTTACGTGGGAAAAAAACTTCTAAATGAACTGAACTGATGAGACATGTGAATTTTTAGAGCGTGGCAGCAAACATTTCCTAACAGTCGACAAACGGGACAGGACTAAAGAATGGTTCATAGGCAAAAGAAACGTAAGTCATTATAATTTCGAAAATTCACCCAATCGTTCGCCAATAAGTCATGCTCCCTCGCAAATCAAAGTCATGCTCCCTCGGCAAATCCTCGATCATCATGTTTCGACCTATCATCTTAAACTTGTTTAAAACTTTCAAATGTCAAATTTTAATTTGGGCCAAAACTGCTACTCTGCAGTTCCTTTGACAACATTTACCAAAATTGACCGAAAAAGTCTTTAGGGGAGGCTGCGGAAATAACTTGGATGGGGTTTCAAGGCAACTGCGGAAAATCAATTTTGACGTCTTTATAAAAGTTCAACAAAATCAAGTTGTTTGACAACCCCATCCCTATATGCTGTTCTCGGGCCCTCTCCCATTATTTTTAAGCAAAATCATTGAGAAAACTTTGGACTCGCCCCTGTCATGGTGGTATAATTGTGATAAAAAGAAATAAGTGAACCAATTAGGGCAGTGTGGTTAGACGAAAACTCAGATAAAATGAAGATTTTTTTCAAAAAATTTTATTTATTTTTTTAAAGTTATACTGATTGACAAGGAGTTGTCGACCGGCATACTAGCATATATGTCCGTTAGTATGCCCATGCAAAAGCACGTAGTTTGGCAATTCGCTATTTAAACTTTTGTTTCCTCAAAACTGCATTTTTATCAGAGTGCTTTTAGCCAATCTTTTATAAGTGCGGAAAAAATTTTTTTTCCTTTACAAATCAAGTAATTTTCGAAACTAACAAAAAATTTAGGCTTATTTGTTTTTCATCTGAATGCACACTCCCTCCTAAATTATGCAAATATCGCATGCCAATAGGTACACATGCTAATCGCTACATCCCCGATACAGACAGTGAACTTAATAAGCAATCAGTACAGCAAACAAAGCTGAAGCAAGACACCACTTAGAAGAAAATTATTAGCCGAATATTGAATCACTTTCGATTTGAAGGCAAGCAAATTGTATAAAAATAATACGCTTGCCGCTTAATTCGTTCAATTACACGCCAAAGTGCCTTCTTTTGTTTGTTGTTTGTTTTGCTCGTTATTAAGTTCACTCGTCTCCTTGTCGTTCACTAATACTTTTTTCCTAATTGAATTAATGAGAAAAATTGAGAAAATGAGAAAATTAATCAAAATATTTGTTTAATTATTAATTTTTATCTCCAGAAAGCTTTTATAAAATTTTTTGTCTTTTAATAATGAGAAAGCGAAGGTAAAATTTTCAATTATTATGATTCGGAAACCCGTATTTATCATCGCTATTTTGCGGACACACTCCCCGTATTGCTTCAAGAACCATTGGGATATTTCACGTGCGATCAGTTAGTTATTTTTCATAATTTGAAACTGATAAGTTTGGCCTAATATCGATTATCGCGTAACATGAGCGATAAATTATTCAAGGCAAGATTTTAATTCGACCTGAATTGAGCCCTTGAAAGAATCGTTGGACTTCAAATTGAATTTTTTTGTAACGTTCTTGAACAGTTGATCGTTAGCAACATACTCAGTGATTTAAAAAATGTTTAAACAGATTCTGAATTGTTTAAACATAGTGTAAATCATTAAACGTTTTATTTGACAACACTTGAGGTACATTGGCTGTTGAGCTAAGAATTAAGTTTTCCAGATTAGTTCTGTTTTTATTATTTTCACATGTGCACGATGGTAGTTTTTCTATAATAAAATGAAACATGTTTCGCGTTCAAACAATCAAACCATTAGTAATACAAAACATCAAATTAATTTTTTTCAGCGCTGGATCATCGATGAATTATTGCTGATTTATCGCTACAAAAATTAATCATGATATAACAATGAATCCTCGATGACGATCGATAAACGTTCAACCCAAGTAAACAACTCAGAATTACCGAACAGCTTTATTATGCTTCGATGAATCATAGGAAAACTATGAATTTAAAAAAAAACGTCTGAAACGATTTTTTATGTACTATTTGGAAGATTTTGACCAAAAAATTACGTGCGCTCGAGCAAAATTTTAGAGCCGTTCAGCAAAAACTGAATATCGCATAAAATACCAATCGGGGCTTTTGGTGGTGAAGGTTGAATTGCTGAGATTGGGGAGAAAACTGCCATCGAAAAGTGCAGATTTAATTCGGGTTAGTTATTATTTCTCGGACACTCCAAATGAAAAAAAAACGTGTTTTTCATTCGTTGCCGAGAAAATTTGGATGATGGTTTTTTTGATGCGTTGTTGACTGATTTCACTGAGCAAAATTTTAGTTTCATCTTAGAGGCCCTAGTGGCGATATGTTTTGTCATATTTGGTCTTAGTGATGGTTCGTTTTAGATGTTGCCTCTCTCTTCATCCCCTGATTGGAAAGATGAGCTGCGAGTGTGGCTGAAAGTGAATGAAAACCACCAACACAAATCCAAACTGAGACAACAGGTAAGTCTGCAGGGGTGACAATCAGTGGACATATAAACCTCATACAAAAACACCCATACAAAACTACCCAAAATACTAAACCAAAGTCCACTTGGCTCTCTCTTTTTGAGTAAGATACATGCAGAAACGACTCTAGAGGCCTTCAACTTATCGGATCATCAACCTAAAAAATGAACTTTCCTATAAATGCACTTAGTCAGAGCATCAATGATTTGATCAAAATTTGAAAAAGCAATTATGCTGATGACAAAACGCTGCATTTTTGACGAAAGCAAGCTATTGGCTCTGGAAAAATTTTGCAAAATTTAAAAAGACTAATTCACTAAGGCAAATGAACATAAATGACAACTAGAGTATCTTATTTGAAAGCATAGCAGATTGTTCCGACAGCTTCGTACCAAAAGTTCAGAAAAAATGTTTTGATTGAAAAAAACTGGGTCAAACATCAGGTAAAAAATACTTGTAACGAAATGGAAGAATATATACAGCCACTATGAGGTAAAACCATACGCTAGAAAGCAAAAAAGTTTTTGTAAAAATGAAAAAATGAACTATTTTATCGTTGGCAAGTCAACGCTTTGTCAAAACTAATCGATTAATATAAAATTCGAAAAATCACAGTAAAATAATTTTTCTAGCGTAATTTAAAAAAAAGAAATTCAAAAACTACTATCATTTCTGGATTTCAACTCCCATTTTGCATTTAAATTAACTAAAATTGATCTGAACAGCACCCACTAAAAAATTCACGAACTTAGCTCAACTTAGATAAAAAATCAATTCCAAATCTTGCAAAATTGAAAAAAAAATTTTTTTTTTTGAGCAAGCAGTTAATTTTTGAAATCGCATAAAATACAAGTTGACAAACTACTCGTCATATTAATGAATGATTCAACTGAAGGTATCAAGTATAAAAAATAGAGATAGAATGACCCGTACGATGATTGATCTTTCAACAACTTTTGATACTGCTGACCACGGCAACTTGGTTGAAAACAATGTGTAACTTATGAATTAAGGGTAAATAACAAATAACTGATTGCGAAAATTCAAAAATTGATCCCGCTTTTAGTTCTAAAGAACATGGTAATCATTTAAAAAATTACTGCCTACGGATTAGCACTAGAGTCAACTTTAGGGCCTTTTTTAAATGTCTGTAAACGAGTTGAATAATTTTCAACCTTTAAACTTAATTCCAACTCTTGTAAAAGTTTTATAAAATTTGTTGGTTTAAATGGATAATTGATTTTGAAAGACGCACAAAATCTAACTAATGAACAACTTGGCTTTCGCAGTTAATGATGCACAGTTAAAGTTTTGATTCAAGTAATGAAAATATTAGGTTTTTTAAACAACAAAAATTTAATGACCTGTATATGTCTTGATTTTCTGAAAGTTTTGAATACAGTTGATTGCAGCTTAGCTTCTTTTGAATGGTTTGAAAAATTTTAAAAAGCAAAAAACGTAACCATTTGAAAACCTGACTGATTGAGGAATATTTAATTAGTGAACATGATGAAACAAAAAATCAAAATTGTGAACAAAGTCGACCCAAACGATCAAACAAATTGTTGAAACGCCTCTAAACAAATTTGGCCTCTATCTGAAAGACGAATTGAGCTTTAACTTGCACATTTACAAATTTTAAAGAAAATTGTTTCAAAATGCATCCAATAAAACCATTTTGGTAAGATATTTACTCAAAAATAGTTTTAAGTTTTATTTTTTCCACATATATTTTTCACTTTGAAATTGCCTTAACTGGCAAAAAAAGAGAGATATTGATCAAAAAGAGATACAGATGTAAATTTAAATTTTTTTGCCAGTTAATTGCATTTCTATGAATTATGAAAGCTTATGACTGAAACTTTGAGGAGGCAGCACTTGAGTGCTAATAAATCAACGAAATAATAAGTCAAAATTTACTTGACGCATTCTTAAATGAAAACTTAAAACCAAAATATAAAACACTGAAAACTGTCTTGTAATTAGAAAAAACGAACAAAAAATTTTTTATAGGTTTTTATCTATTTCTTTCTCTGCAGTGACAACAAGATAACCAATAAGAAATAGATTTGTCAAACTATCAGCTAAAGGAAAGAAATTCTCCATCGCATACGGGCTTATACATTTGTGACAACGAGTAATTGATGAAATTTACTCAAAAACTTCAGGTGTTTAGAAAATCAACTGTTGACTTTGATGCTGCTCATGCTGCTCATGGCAATTATTTTACGATTTTTTCGATTTTACTAACAATTCAACCCTGCTTTTCATTTAACTGCAAACGATTTCACAGTAATTCAAAAAAAATTTTTTTTTTTAAATAACGTTGCATATATTGTGTACCATTGCTGTAGTTGATGACAAAATTTTATGAGTAAAGCAAGAAGGCTGAAGTCAATCAGGGCAAAAATTGATTAATCTGAATGCCCCTAACTGATCTCGAACAAACTTTGCAAAAAAATTCTCATCAACTGCAAACTTTGAACAGCCAATATCAAATATTAACTGCTCAGTTTTTTATACGAAAACAATAGGAGTAATTTAGTCAGGACTATAAAAATCATGAAAAAAAAACTGTGTTTCTTTTGAGCTATTATTTCAATGAAACCAGAGGCAGTGTGTTTTACAAAAGACTTTTTTCATCGAAATTAATGTGCAGTCCAAACATTCAGGGTTTTGTTATGATACTAAAAATTTAATGCTCGTTAATTAACCCAAATTTGCCCAAGTAGCATTTTTCAAAATCCCATCTTCATGAAAAATATGTATATGTAATATGTAATTGAAAATATTCAATTTGAGCAAAATAACGCGCGTTAATTAACCCAAAATGGCCCAGTTATCAATTTTTCAGTTCTCAAAGTTTCCGGAAAAATCATCACAGATAAAAAATTGGTAAATTTTCAGTTGAAAAACTAACATAAGCAGAAAAACTCCGCATTTTTTTGTTTAAAAATTGGGGCAAAAATATGTTTGTTCTAGCTATATCATGTATAAATTTAACTCATGGGTGAAGTATCTTACAATTTCGGTTCGGCAATATCTTTTTGAATAATTTTATATCAAACAAGATTACTCGTATCATAGCAAAGTCGTGAATGCTCTGACTGCCTTTTGAGATCTATGGAGCATTGTCCGCTTGAAACTATTGACAATTTATTTGATTTTTTTTGCAATCAATTTTGCACATGCCATATAAAAGAATAAGAGATAAATTTCGCTTCTCGTATTGCAGCAAACATGACAATAAGCCATCTTCAACTAAATTGCTACGGTTCCAAATTGCTTCAATTTCTAATTCGGATTAAATATCGGCTTATGCGTTAATAGCACAAAATTTATCGAGCGTTATTCTTAAAAGTGAGTTCAAATTGAAATCCATTTCGGATATTATGCCAAAATTCTAAATTTCTGTCAAAAAAATTCTAATTAAAAAATTTAAGTTTGTCTGTTGAAAAAAAAACAACCCGAGCATAAATTAATTGCCATTTTTTCAGTTTCTTTTGAAATTCCAAACAATAAACTAATACCGCCCAAATCATCATACTACTTTTAACTTGAAAGACTCATTTATGAAAATGAATCTTTTGATACCACAGACAATGAAAAAACTATTCAAAAATCCTGCTTCATTTGTTTTAAAGGATTTCAGTGTGTTGCTTGACATTGATTTTGATAATTTATTGTAATTTGGTGCGCGTACCTTTTTTTTTCGAAAAATCCAGTGTTATAATCATTTCCGGTGCGACAAAATAAGCTAATCCAACTTTTTTTTGAATCGTGTACCAATAGTTTAAAATGAGTTCAATCTTGATTTGATTTTCGAACTGCTCCTAACACCGTTCAGCTTGTTGATGACCATAAAAACTCATCCAGCTAACAAATAAGCTGTTATTGAAAATAATGGTGAAGTTTATAGTGTTTTGTCGTTTTTTCTAAGACTGATTATTAGGCTGACAGTTTGATCGCTGAATTTATTTTAAAACATGTGGTTGGATCCAACTGAAATTTTTCGTTATGAAAAAATTTGATGACAGTGAGAAAAAAAACAGCTTCTACCCATGGAATCTTTGCCGTATTAATATTTTTTTATCTTCAAACTCATAACTCATCATCTTCTTGTATCTACATAAAGCTTAACACCTTCAGACTGAAAAACAACTTGACTACTCGTATCAAGGCAGCAATTTGAAGATTGTGAACGCCCTCTTATGTCAATGAAAAAGTTTCTCCTTAAAAATATCCCTAAAAAGACTCTAGCAGACATAATTGGTAAAATTGGAGGAGTCAATAATTCTTCAAAGTGATTTGAAGTGTGATCTTTCAAGAATACAATAGTCTTTTTATTGAGTATGCTTGCAGGTTTCTATTTTTGTTTATAAATAGTGAAAACGATGAGAAATAATTTCGCTCTACAAAACCGTAGATAACTAAGAAATACATAGACAAGCTACAGCTCTGAGTACAGTAGAGCGTTGGCGTATCGCACACGGATAAATTCAAAAACGGGATGGATAAGGAGTTGAGTAGACATAAAATGATTAAGAAAAATTTTTTAAAAATCTGGAAGCTTTTTTCAATTTTTGTAACAGATGATTATGAAAAATTTTAAAATTGTCGTTTGAGCCAGAACTAGAGCCAATCGAATACAAAATTGTTGCTAAAACTATCAAATAAACAACGTTAAGAAAAAAGTTGAAGCAAATACTCATATACGCAAAATGTATTATTAGTTTTATTTTATTTTATTTTTACATATAAAAGGTTTAACAGTGGTGGAAAGTAGAAAGCAGAGTTTTTTTTTCAATACCTTGAGAGATCTATTGGGTGCAGGGAAGAAATTAGTGAAACTAAGCCAAAAAAATTTCTAAATTTTTAAAGTTTTCATGTTTATTTGTAAAGAGTATCATCAAAACCGTTTTCTTAAAAAAATTGCAATGACCTCAAGAAAAACTTATAAAAAAGTGATATTGTGAGCTGAAAACTTTTCTTCA